CTTGGCAGCCCAGTTTTAACCAGTTAGCATGTCATGTGGTCATATGTCACTGTCACAGGGTCTCTGCTGGTAACATAAAAGCTGACGCACCACGATGTCCCCGTCTGACCATAACTGAGACGTCAGTCCACCTCTAACCCACAGCAGGTGTGTACACCCTGTGCTCTGACAGGCTGCTAACAAAAAGGAACTACTACATCCTGCATTGATAACATCTTTTTCTGACATTATTTATTTATCTTTATCAGTGACACATCAGGTGAAACTACAACACAAAAGCTGTGTTTAAATGATTGGACCATGATGTATCGAGTTGATTGTATTTATCGCTCTCTACTTGTGATTTTATTGCCAAAGAAAAACTGTAAACAAGGTCATACTGTGGTGAAATGCTTTATGATGGTTACCTTTTGGATTCCAGCTGCTCCTTTAACTTGCTGTACATTTCTAGCACTGCAAAGGGAGCAATGACAGGAAGCAGGATTAGTTTGATGGTTCAGTCAGTTTTGCTCATCACACATCACATTTACAGTGATAACATGTTCAGTTACCAGTAGGCTCCACTGCACTGCAGACCTCCACACTGATCCATCACTGTTGCAGCAGCTTAGGTGCTATACAAGTTCCAATATTACACATGCCAGATAAAAGCATGCATAAATAATTTTTACTTGATACCCAAAAACTAAGGTTATAATTAGCTTCTTCAGCTTATGATGCTGGGAAGGCTGGAGGCAGTCACAGGACGCAAGATTAAAATCTAAACAAACTGACTCAGTATCCACACACTGAAGAAGAGTCAGTGAGGAATTTTACAAAACTCACCACAGTGGATTATAAACTACAGATGTGACTGAAGTGCAGATTTTTAGCTTTAATTCAAGGAGTCTAAAACTAAGTATTGAATTAACTGCTTATGAGTTACAGCCATTTTTATTTATATTCTCTCATTTTCAGAGGCTCGAATGTAACTGAACTAGGGCTGCAACGATTCATCGACTAATTTAAATAATTATATGATTATAAAAATTTCTTGACACAATTCTTTGCTTTGATGCTT